GAAAATGGATGCCCATTGACTAAAGAAAAACTGAACTGGTCATGGAACATGAATGCAATGGAATGCTATTGAACTGTAAGAAGATATAAATATGAAGAATTCAGAAAAGTATGAGAAAAGTTGTATGAACTGATACAAAGAGTATAAGTATAAAGTAGTCAAGTAGATAGCTCTATGGTAATATACAACTAATTACGTGATCCTTAGAAGCAGTAAGGAGGACACAGGTATATATTGGTGTCTGTCACCCCCTAGCTCCATCCTCTGCCTTATATAGGCATCCCTCATTTTATTGTGTTTCAAAGATACTGCATTTTTTACAAACTGGAGGTTTGTGGCAACCCTGTGTCAAGCAAGTCTATCTGTGCCATTTTTCCAATAATATGTGCTCACTTTGTCATGTTGTAATTCTTGCAATCTTCCAGACTTTTTTCATTATTATTGTATTATTGTAAAATCATTGTATTAACCCTCTTTGTGTTCTGTGAGAACCATCTAGGACTTCAGTGGGCCATGCCTGCCAGAATGAGATCAAACTCCTTAGGGCTTTTTGCCTGGACCAAAAATCAGCCCTCCACTCAGAATCTTAGAGTGAAAAATATTAACAGCAAAGACTTATAATATTTGGCCCAGCATACTTTGAGCTAACTTAATAATAACAGTTGTGAATCGAAACTGGTAGAGCTGTATATGCATTTCCTAGTACTACTAACATAAAATTAAGTGCATGCTTATGTTGTGAAATTTGGTAATACCAACATAGAAAAATTACTTCTCTTGTAATTTGCATACTGTTAGGTTGTTAGGTTATAAACTCAGTTGTTAGAGTTGCCTAAAAACTACCATTTTTGTTAAGTGTTTTATTTCAGTAGGATTATAATAATGGTTTCAAAACTTTTCTTCCTTGTTTTATCTGATGATTTGTTTGACACTGTTATAAATTTGTTTCAGCTCTGCTGGTGATATGGTATAAGTTCTATAATGCTTAAACCTGAAAGCTTCAGATTCGGTGGAAGGGCTAGTTTCACACCTACCTAGAATGGGAAAGTTTACAAATCAGCTTACATAAAGGACTTAAGTTCCACCTAAATGTGTTTACCTGCATTAAAGCTACATCTTAATTTGGTAGCAAATTCTTTCATCTTCTAGAATTATGGATATGTCCACTAAGTGAATTTTAAAAGTGCCTTTCAGCTATACTGGCATTAACAAGCTTTTCATTATAAGAACAGAGGGGAAGGGTGACCTCAGGGATTTTAACCCAGCATTTTAACCCATCCCATAATTTACTGCTCTTGCCTAGGATGACTGCTGTTACCAGGCCCCTTATCTTGGAAAACTCCAGAATGTGATTACTGAGAGAATGGGATGCCTAATACTTCTTTACTAAGTTTATATTATAGTAGTAGTTTATGGGTGATTTATGATTATGAAATTTATAGTTATACCTGAAATGCTATATTTTGAAGTTACATCTTGAGCCAACCAATCTTAGAAGGCTCCAGTCTTAGGGACTTAATGAAGAGGTCAATCTACGGGCAGCTAGGTGGCGCAGAGGATAGAGCACAGGTCTTGGTGTAAGTAGCACCCAAGTTCAAATCAGGCTTCAGACAACTTCCTTAACTGTGTGACCCTGGGCAAGTCACTTAACCCCAATTGCCTCCAAAACAAAAAGGTCAGTCTACAATACTTATTCTCAGCAATATGAGTAATAATAACTGCATCCAGCCCTACACTTGATGTTTAAAATCAAGTCTTATGGGACTATAATTAATATTATTCCAGTATTATTCTAGGTATAATTGTTGGGGAATGCCATTAAGCCAAAGATCCATAATGCCAGCAGCCCTATAGGGTTGACATATCTGAGCTAAGGTGGAGCTTTGTCTCAGGGAAAAGTGAATGACCTTTGGCATAGGCAGAGGTTTGTTGTTCAGTTGTGTCTGACACTTCAGATCCCATTTGGGGTTTTCTTGGCAAAGATACTGGAGGGGTTTGCCATTTCCTTCTCCAGCTCATTTTTCAGATGAGGAAACTGAGGCAAACCGGGTTAAGTGACTTGTCCAGGGTCACACAGCTAAGAAGTATCTGAGGCCAAATTTGAACTCAGGAAGATGAATATTTCTGATTTCAGGCCCAGTGCTCTATCTACTGCACCACTTAGCTGCTCCAGAGGTAGGACTCTCCTGACTTGATTTCCTCAGTGTGACATTTCCTCTTGAATGAAAAATTTTCCCACCTGACTAAAATTCTAAGCCTGGCTGTGACATTCTGTCAATACAATTGGCTGCCTATATGACTTTTGCCTGGAACTGTCATCAAGGTAGGGGAGCATTATCCCCTTACCATAGCTTTGTCCCTCTTTTTCTTTTCATGGCAAATTGTTCAGCATAGCAAGACAGTCTATATCTTTAACCTGTATAATCACTTCTATACGAGGACCTATGTGTCCAGGTAGAACAAATTCAGGAGCCAAACAATCAACAAGTATTTATTAAATACCTAATATGTGCCAGGCATTATGCTACGTGCCAGGGACATAAAAACAAAAAAATTAAAGCCTTTGTTCAGAAGGAGTTTGCATTCTAGTAGGTGAGAGAATGTGTACATATCTAAGTAGAGTCAGTAAGTACAAAATGGAAGGGCACTATGGTTCCTTCTAGGGGAGATCAGGTAAGGCTTCGTGTAGAGGGTGGTACCTAAGCTGAGTTTTGAAGGAAATGAAAAATCCTATGAGCTGAAAGTAAAGAAGGCCAGGTATAGAAGGCAGCCAGTACAAAGTCTTAAAAACGGGAGTAACAAAGTAACAAAGGGAAGACCATTTTGGCTGGATTGTAGAATCTGGAAAGTAATGTAAAATGAGACTGGAAAGATAGGTAGGACCAGGCTGTGAAGTGCTTGAAAAGCCAAAGTAGCCAGTTTACATGTGACCTGGGGAGCCACTTGAATATCTTGACAAGGGGAGTGACATGGCCAGATCTTTACTTAAGGAAAATCACATCAGCTATGTGGTGGATGGATTGAGGTGGAGAGAGAGTAGAGACAGTGAAACTAATTAAGAGGCCATGGCAGTAGTCCAGATAAGAGGTGATAAGGGTCTAAATTAAGATGATGGTGAATAATGAGAAAATAGAGACGGAGAGGATATTTGTTGGTGTGGATCTTCAGGGTCTAGGTCAGCCCCTGCATGAAAAATGTTGAAGAAGAGAGGAAGGAGGAAGAGGAGGAGGAGGAGGTGGTGATGGGAATGAGGATGGTGAAGATGAAAATGTTCAGTGAAAAGGAAACTTTAAACTAAATAGATTCATAAGAACTACAACTTTAAGAGAAAAACGCTTTCTGGGACCACTAGGTGGCACACTAGGAACATATAGACTGACCTGGTCCTTTAAAGATATCAGCAGGATTGCCCTGTGGATTTCCATTCACCCACTGGCTCTGCTACCTACATTATGTTTCCTAGATCCTTATGACATTGAAAGATATGTAAGTCAATCACTGTCTTGCCTCTGCCCTCAACAACTGACCAGCCCTCTACTTTTCTGGACAATGTCCTTTTCCTAATTACTCAAGCCTCCCATACAGAGTTAGAAGGAACATTTAATCTGATTTATAAAAGCAAGTAAAACAAAATTCAAGTCATTTAGTCAGTAAACATTTGTTAAATGCCTATTATGTTTGGGGCACTGTGCTAAGCCCTGGAGATACAAAGAAAGGCAAAAGACATTCACTTTCATTTACCTACTGAACCAACTACAAACTTTTATCTGCCAACACAAAAGGGAGTGACCAATGCAATTTACAACAGAGATAGCAGGGTGTGACTACAACCAGAGCTAGGGGAGATGTAGTTGCCCCATCTTTACAAGAAATATTGCCTCTACATGGTGTGGAGGTCACTTTACTTTGTTATAAGAATTTTTCAGTCTGAGGCTTGTATGTTTTAACCTTTAACATCACTGCAACAGGAGAATCTATGTGTCCAGTTAGAACAAATTCAGCAACCAATCAATCAATCAACAAGCATTAATTAAGCATCTAATATGTGCCAAGTACTGTGCTAGGCCTGAAGGATACAAATATGAAAAATGAAACAGTCCCTACTCTGAAGCAGCATAGACTACTCTGAACTCTGAGCAGACTACAACTATAGAACTGAACTATCTCTGTGTAATTGATTTGGTTGATTTGACTGATAGCAGTACCCCTGATCAATTGACCCTTAGATAATTTTTATTGTACTTCAGCTTTTGACTTCCAAATTGGCTAACTCATCAACTCGGCTCACTGCCTAGTTCACCACCTACTTCTGGTTTCTCACTCAAGTCCAAAAAAGTAGTGCTGCCTGACTATTAAAATCCTAGCACAGAAAAATGGATGAGAGAGAGAGAGAGAGAGAGAGAGAGAGACAGAGACAGAGAGACAGACAGAGAGAGAGAGAGAGAGAGAGAGAGACAGAGAGACAGAGACAGAGAGAGAGAGAGAGAGAGAGAGAGAGAGAGAGAGAGAGAGAGAGAGAGAGAGGTAGATGTGGACTGGCTCTGTCTCAAATACTGTGCTCCTCTAGAAGATACCACACATCCCTGATACCTCTAGCGCCCTCCCTTTGTCCACCATCGATTCTCCTCTTGGCAAACCAGGCAAGAGAAAATGAAATTGACAGAACAAAGAAAAATATATAATAATGTCTACAATAATATAAATAAAAACAACACCAAAATGTGGCTGAGCTCTGATTCCTTGTAATAACCAGTCTCCAAAACTGGTTATTAAAAATACTTCCCTCCTCTTGGCAAAGAGGTAGGGGACTTTGGAATGGGGCAGATGATCAGTTGTGGTGGAGTGGAAAGGGATGGGGAGAGGGAGGAAAAGGAGAGAATGAATGATAAATGACTGTGGAGTAGAAACCAAAGATTATCAAAAATAATAATTTTTTAAAAATAAAATTCATCTTATTAAAAAAAAAAAAGACAACCTGGCTATAACAAACAAGGAACAAGAGCATAGTCTGCCATTTTATTTACATAACCTCCCAACACGCTTTATCCTTACGGGGTCCAATGCTTCTCAAATTGTTACCACTTTTAAAGGTTTGGCCGGTGCCACAGGAGGGAACAGCCAAACCAGCAGGGGAACTGCTGGCTTCCAATCATCCAGTTCTTTGACTTCCATTATTTCATTCATTTGTTGCTTTTTCTTCTCCCTCTCAGAAAAAGGCAAGCTGCGGGAAGAACAGGTCACATGTATGACAGCACAATTTACCTGTACAACTACAGGGAGGCATCATGATGACAGGGAAAGAACCCCGGAAATCAGAAGACTTGCGTCTGAGTCCCAGCTTTGCTACTTACTGGTGATTGTGACTCTGAGCAAGTCATTTTCACCTCTTAGAACCTCAGTTTCCACACCTATGAAATAGGGCTAATAATACTTCGGACTACAGGCCGGTTGCTGATTAGTACAAATGATCAACCCCCTAAAGTGGTCACATGTATTTGAATTCACACTATTGGAGCAGGGCTGGCTGCTACTGCTTGGATCCTGTTTGAATAGCTACCCTCACCATCCCATACAAACAGTTTCATGGAGTCAGCTTCTAGATCTCAACTCTGCTCCTTATCAGACCCAGCCATTTATTATACTTCTGTGTACACTTCACATTCTGCACCACCACCACCACCACCCCCAGTAAAATGTAAGTACTCAGAGGGCAAGGACTGGGGGTTTTTTCCCCCACAGCTTTACGTGCCCAGTGACTAGTACATGGCCTTGCATACCATGCTTGCTTAATGAATATTGAATAGATGAATCTCAAATCTGTAAGCCCCCACATCACCATATTTCCAGACTTCCTGCCAGTCACTTCTTCTTGGGTGTCATGCTAGCACCTCAACCTTAAAAAAAGAGACCTGTGTCTTAAAAATTGACCCATTTTTCCCTCCCTCCATTTCTACCTCCTTTCCCCCCCAAAAAAAAATCTCCTCTTCTTGTTTTTTCCAATTTTTTATGCCAGAAATCTACATTTAGGAATATCTCATTAAGTCAACACTCCTTTGATTGAAGCAGTTCTGAATTCACTTAACTGTACAATCATCTAAATTGTATTTTTCATAGAATCACCATAAAAGAATGTAAAAAAAAAAAAAGCAGCTAGGTGGTGTGGTGGATAGAGCACCACCCCTGGAGTCAGAAGGACTTGAGTTCAAATGTGACCTCAGGCACTTACTAGCTGTGTGACCCTGGGCAAGTCACTTAACCCCAACTACTGAGGGGAAAAAAAAAAGTCAGCTCTTTGAGGGCAGGGACTATTTCCTTTTTTTACCTCTGTACCTTCAGCATATGCCTCACATATAACATACAATTGATAAATGTTTGATAAATTGAATTGAGTCTTCATCCTCAGTATCCAACCTCTCTCTGAAAGCACCAAGCCAGAATTTCCAACTTCTGTAAATCCCCACACGTACATTACACAAGAATTCCTACTCCACATGTCCAAAACTGAACTTAGCAGCATCTTGCCCACCATCCCCTATCCTCTCATAGGATCTGAGTTCTAATCTCAGTTCTAAAGAACACTGACCTTAGAGTCAGAGGATCACATCCCAACTCTGCCATCTGTGTGACCTTCAGCAAGTCATTAAATGTCTCTGGGCCTTAGTTTCCTCATCTGTCTAATGGGGGAGTGGTTAGATTAAATAACCCTTAAGGTCCTTTCCATCTCTAGAACTATGATGCTGTGTAATAATGTAATCCATGCAATAATAATAGTAACAGCTATTATTTATATAGCACTTTATTAAAGCTTGCAAAGCACTTTACAAATAGTATCTCATTTGATGCTCACAACTACCCTGGGAGATAAGTGCTATTATGATCCCCACTTTACAGACGAAGAAACTGAGGCAGGCAGTGGTTAAGAGACTCGTCTAAAGTCACACAGCTAATAATTGTCTAAGAAGGCAGGAGTTGAACTCAGGTCTTCCTGACTCTAGGTTCAGCAATTTATCCATTGTGTCACCTGTCTTTAAAAATACTACTTCTCCTGAATTTTATATTTTAATTGAAGACACTCTAGTGACCTAGAATCAAAACCTCTGAAGCATCTTTGACTGTGCTTTCTCTCAAGGCAGTGTAGTGCAGTGGAAAGAATATTATGTTTGGAGTTGGATTCCTGCCACCTTGTCATTGTTTTTCAGTCATGTCTGACTCTTTTCTTGGCAAAACTACTGATGTGGTTTATTATTCCTTCTCCATCTCATTTTACAGTTGAGGAAACTGAGGCAAATGGGGTGAAGTGAGTTGTCCAGGGTCACACAGCTAGTAAGTTTCTGTGGCCAGATTTGTACTCAGTCCTGACTCCAAGGCTAGCATTCTGTCCACTGGGCCACCTACCTGCTGTCACAGCTGTCACCTTGTGGGACCTCGAGAAAACTGCAACCTTTCTGGGCCTTGGTTTCCTCAATTATGCTTGGACTAGATGACCTTTACAATCCTTCCCAGCTTTAAATCTATGATCCTAATTGATAAAGTGTTATAATGTAGTCTTATCATCTTTAAAATTAATTTTTAATCTACCAAACTACTTCTCATCACTAAGATTCAGTCATTTGGAAAAGGATCATTCCCAAAGTTTAACTGAAGATTTAGCAGGTGAATGTGGAAATAATGATATAGCCTCATTAATAATATTATGTCTTACCCAACCAAAGGTTGATGAATCACAGGAGCATTAATTATGAGCTGGGGGCAGCCAGGTGGCACAGTGTAAAGAGCACTGGCCCTGGAGTCAGGAGGACCTGAGTTCAAATCTGACCTCAGACACATAACACTCACTAGCTGTGTGACTTTGGGCAAGTCACTTAACCCTGATGCCTCACCAAAAAAAAAAGTAAAAAAAAAATAATAATAATAATAAATTATGATCTGAAAGAGACCTTACAGATCATTTGGTCCATCCCCCTTATTTTACAAATGAGAAAATTGAATCTTTGAGAAGTGAAATGACTTACTTAAGGTCGCACAGAATGGAAGAACTAGAATTTTTTTAAAAACATCATCTAACTTAAAATTTAACTCTCCTCTCATTATACCCCTCTGCCTTCTCAACAAAGACTGAAAAAATAAAAATTCATTGGGCAGATTCTGGGCATGCATCCTCATCTACCTACATAAATAATATAAAATAATGTAACAATACTCACTGATATTCTTTTGGCAGAGGTTCCAGAGGAATAAATGTATCTACTTTCTTTACATATGGAACTCTGAAAACAATGAAAGGCAACCATAAAATTAGCAAAGATTGGCACTGCACCCAGATCAACATTTGTTTTCACTGAAATAGAAATTCCTTTTATTCTGTTATAGGTGTTACTTTGTTGCATTTTTATAAATATAACCCAGGGTTCCAGCCTGGTACATTTACATAAGACAATCTTGATGGAGAGACTGATTATTTGGTGCTCAGTGTTTCTTGAGGGGCTTAAGAGAAAAGAGATTTCTTCTTGCCTCTAGCGCACAGGGTGGTTCTAGGCTGTCTTCAAGGAGGGAGACTTTGGGAAGAAGGAGATATGTAGAGGAGCCTGGATCTCATTATGTCCCTGATTTCTAGCTTACTAGACTGGAAATTGCTGGGAATTTCCCCTTGGATGAAGTAAAGTATTCTCTGTCTCCCTCCCTCCCCCCCCACACATATCTTACTCCTCATTCACTCTACATTGGTATATTGTAATCTCTATAACTTCTCTTATTTCTGTTTGCAGTTTACTTCAATAAATAGGTTTGTTCACTATTCACTATTTGTGATGGTCTTCCTGTAACTACCATTTGGTATAAAGACAGTCAAGCCTTTGTACAGTCCTCTCCCTATTAAGGAATAGCAACCAGAAAATTAACTTAAATCTAAATCAATTCCCCCTAGACTAACAATATTTAAGGGAGCAAAAAGGTATAATTCTAGTCTGATATCCCGACTTTGAGGAGAGCAGAACTGGTCAGCCTCAATGCTCCATTCTCCTGCTCCCCTTCAGGCAGGAATCAAAATTTCCCTTGGAGAAGGGTGACAGAAATTCCAGAGATATCTCTTTACACTTCCCTGCAAACTGCATTTAGTCAAACCCGTACAGATATACACATAACCTACCTGGGCAAACACACACACACACACACACACACACACACACACACACACACACACACACACCCCTTACATAAACATCTTGAAATCATATATAAATAAAAACAAAATTTAAACAAAGCCTAATGGAAAGAACAATGACCACATATGGAACATTATACTAAATATCTGGTTTTATATGTGTTGGTTAGTTTTGCCAAACTAGTTTATTTCCCCTTTGGAATTCTTTGTTATAAGAAATGACTGGGAATGGGGGTGGGGGTGGCAGGGAGGAGTATATTCAGAAACATAGGTAATATAAAGCCGAAAGCTATCAATGAAAAAAAAATTTTAAAGACACACAGTGCCACACTTTTCCATGTTCTTCAAATTTTTATAATTAATTCTCAATTTTTTGTCACCTGTGATTAGTTGGATCTCTTTACTCCAATGGATTTGGGCTCAAGCTAGAGCTCATGTTATTTGTAACAGAAATCAAAGTCCAATAGTCTGAGTCTGTCTACAAATTTAAGGGACTTGGGGGGACGGGGAGGAGAGAAGAGACAGAGGTTGACCATGGGAACAAAATAAAGTCAAAGTCAAAATCTTTTTGATGGAATTTTTTTTTAATCTCTTTTGGTCTCCTTGCCTCAAATCTCTGGCCCCTCCAGCCCATTCTCCACTCAGCTGTCAAATTGAGCATAATAAAATGAAGGTCTGACTTCAATGAACTAATAATAAACTCCAGTGGCTCCCTGTACCCCTCAGGGTGAAATATAAAATCTGTTTGTCATTCAAAGACCTTCCTGCCCTGGGCCCTACCTATCTTTCTAGTCTTCTTACACCCTGCCTCCAGGTAGTCTCGGATCCAGTAACACTGGCCTGCTTGCTATTCCTTGGACAAGACATTCAAACTCCCATCAAGATATTAAGAGACACCCTGTTTTCCAGAGCTAAGAGCCAGCAAGCAAGCTGAGCCCTGGGTCTGGCATAACAGCAATCCTTTTCGCTAGCCCTCTGGATTATCTCTGCCACAGCAAAATCCCAGAATTGTTTCTGGTCATGAAGCCCTGCTATGAATCAAACTTGTCACACTGTTGCTGTTACTCCACGTTGTCAGGGCTACAACTCACTGTGCAACCATTAATATAAGTATTGAGATCTCCTCACACTATGCATAATTAATTTATAATTACTTTATAATTTTTTCACCTGCGATTAGCTGGATCTCTTTACTACAATGGATTTGAGTTCCCCACCAGGCGTGGGGCTCCAGCATATGTGTCCTTGCTTGGGGTTTCCTTGGCAATGATACTGGATTGGTTTGTCATTTCCTTCCCCAGCTCATTTTATAAATGAGGAAACTGAGGCAAACAGGGTTAAGTGACTTGCCCAGGGTCACACAGTAAATACCTGAGGGCACATTTGAACTCAAGTCCTCTTGACTCCAGGCTCAATGCACTGTGCACTGCATCACCTTGCTCCCCTGGCTTCCTTCAAGTCCCAGCTAAAGTCTCACCTTCTATAAGTGTTTCCCGGTTTCTCTTAAAGCTAGTGCCCCGCCTTTTTTGATCAGCTCCCATGTATCCTGTCTATACCTTGTTTGTACATAGCTGTTTGCATGTTATCTCCCCTCATTAGACCATGAGAGATCTTTGAGAGTAGGGACTGTCCTTTACCTATCTTTGTATTCCCAGCACTAAGTCTGGCACATAGTAAGGTCTTAATAAATGCTTACTGACTGAAGTTTTGATGAGATTACTCCCTCTCTTAGCAGTTTTGTATTGATACCAATACAAATCATTCCCCTATTCATAAAGGGCCCCTAGATTCCTCTTGCTTCTAGGATCAAATACAAACTCCAATGATTGGCTTTTAAAAAGGCCTCTATTCTGGCTCTATTTCACACACTCAGTGTTGCCACCAAAGATGCCTATTGATCATTACCAACACACAAAATCCAGTCTCCTACCTCAGTGATTTTGCATAGTCTTTTCCTCCAAGCCTGGAATGCACTCCCTCCTCCTTTTAGCTTCCTTCAAAGCCCAGCTCCGGTGCCCTTTCCTACATGAAGCCTACGTTGATAGCCACCACCACCCCCAGTTGCTAGTGTCCTCCCCTGGAATTTACACTTTGTACATATTTTGTATTTAATTTTCTATTTACATGTTGTTTTGCACTAACAGACTAAACTTCTAGAGGGCGGAGCTATTCATTTTTTTGTCTATATAAAGCCAGCTACTATCACCATCACCCCCACACGTATCTAGCACATAGCTGACACAAAAAAGGCTTGTTGACAAGAATAAAAAAAAGTAACCAAATAAACCAAGCGCTAAAGTACTAAGACTCACCTTGAAAAATTCACGGGTGGTACAGTGGCTCCATGTTTATAAAAGTCTGGACATTGCTCAGGACGGAAATATGTCTTGTCCCCTGGCATCAGTTCTGGGAGTCCATTCCTGAGATCAAGGTCTATTAGTAATGTGCCCCAAATAAAATTACATAAAGGTTAGAGATAGGCCACTGGTCAGCTCAGAGAAATTGAATGCAAACTGAAAATGCAAAAACTGATATTTTTCTGCCAGAAACAATAAAAATATATGAAGGTCATTGCTTCTCCCTTTCTTCTCTTCAAATGTCTTTTTAAGCAGGTAAATTTTTTAATGAGGATTCATCAACAAAAAATAGTGCAAAATATGCTTAGGTGTGCGTGCTTCCAAGGATAGGGGGAAGACAAAAAGACATGTCATAGGTTTTTCCCTCAAAGGGCTTACAATCTTAGTGGAGAAATTAATTTATTCATGTATTCAAGTAACACTTATTAAGCAATGCACTGTAATGAGAAATGGAACATATGTTTAGAATGATATATGACACAAAGTAACATGTCACAAACTTCCAAGAGATATTATACTCAGAATAAATATTAACTAATAAATATTTGCCAAATGTCAAATTATTAAATAATAAATATTTGTCAAATGAATGAATGAGTGTGAATACTGCTAGATGAATGGTCAGAAAAGTTACAGACTGTATCATAAGATCAGACATGTTGGAGCTAGCTCAAACCTGCCTGAGGAAGCTGATTGTTAAATTTTCAGTGTGAAATCAACTTCAGAAATCAACTAATGATAGAAATCAAGGCTTGCTGTATTATTTTGTGAATTGCCTAGGCTTAAGAAAGTGATAGGAGAAAACACTAATAATGCAACTAAACATAAAGTATGTCATAGGTACTCCCCCCACCCTGAAAAGCTAATTGTTAAACATTTACCGGCACACCCTGCATGGAGCTGGAAGGAACCTCAGACACCAATTAATCCAACCCCCCTTTATTTTACAGATGAAGAGACTGGGGCCCAGAGGGGCTAAATGTCTTGGCCAAAGTCATACAGGGAATAAGTGGCACAATTAGGATTTAAACTAATGTCCTCTGACTCCGACATCAAGTGCCTTCTCCACTGTACACATTGCTTCCCTAATGGTGGAACTGGAAGGAACCTTTGAGATTATCTACTTCAACCCCTTCATTTTGCAGATGAAGAAGCAAGCCCCAAGAGCTCAACTATGTGACCCAAAGACTGAGGTGTTTCTTTAAAAAAATATTTTTTCGTATTCTACATCACCTACATATCCTTCCCTCCTCTTCCCAGAAACTTATCCCTTATACCAATTGATACAAAAGCAGAAAAAAAAAAAGAAAAAGTTTGGCAAAGCTAACCAATACATCAACTGAGTCTAGCATGATATGCAGCATATGCTCTGCACCTCTGCTGAGGAGGAGGGGAGGTGTTTTCTCATGTCTTCTATAAGACTAAGTGTGGTTATTAAATTTGTCTTTCAAAAAAAATTTATCACCATTTTGTTTTTACATTATCTTTACTTCCCATTATGTTTCCCCACCCTCCTAGCTTCAACAGAGGAGATATGTGGTTCTCTTCGAGGAGAGGCCCCTAAGGGAAGAAAAAGACTCGGAACAAGTCAACATTTAGAAGACCTGGCACCTCTATCACGTCCCTAGCTTACTACACTAGAGACCCTGGGGAATTTCTCCTTGAGTAAGATCTAGGATTCTCTCAGTTGAGCTGAGATACCTCTCTCTGAGTAGAAAGCTCATTCGCTCTTTGTGTTATCTGTTACATTCTCATCTGTACCTTCTCTGATATCTGTTTGCTATCAGCTTATATATTGTGAGTTTATTTGCTATTCACTACTTGTGGTCTTTGTGTGAGTCATTTGGTGACAAGAGGAGTCAAACCTTGGCTATATTGCTTGAGACACTCCTTCCATGTTAAGGGATAGCCATCAGGAGCGCAGCTTGAACCTAAAAGTTATTTCCCCTAGCCTAACAATACTTAGGGAGGGCAGAGAGTTATAATTCTAGCCTGGTCCCCTTTCAGTGAGGAAAGCCCAATGGCCAGCCTCTGGCACAATTTCTTGTTTCTCTCACCTGGAATCAAAATCTCCCTTGGAGGAGGGTAGGGGTAGGATGCTCTATTCATGCCTCCCTAGGAGCCATACCTAGACAGACCTATATGAACACACATAATCAACATGGGCAACACACACACACACACACACACACACACCCCCTACGTATGTTAACAATTGATTATACATTATACACATAATATAAAATTATTATATATTATATAGCAATTAATAATTCGTTTCGAACCCTGTCTCCTTTAGGCATAGGCTTTTAACGTGGAGTCAATGAATTTGTCTTTCCAATATTTTGATAACTGAATTTCAATGCAATTGGTTTCCTTTGTTATTCTATGTTATTTTATTTTTTGTATTTAAAAACATTATTCTGAGAAAAGGTCTGTGTGTTCTACCCTAGGTTAAAAGCATCCATAAAAAAAAAAGTTAAGAACCTTTTCCCTAAGATGGTGTTATCACTTCTAAGATAAGCAGTAAAAAAATAAAACAATCTAATATAATGAAAATGCTAATGTCATGATGACAGGGCGGTCCAGTTTGATACCAGGAAACCAAAGCACAGATGGAATCAATGCAAAGCTATGCCTACAGGGCTCCAAGTTGGTTAAGCCCACCTACAGCCTCCCCGATGAGCTATCTTTCCTTAATTAGTGCCCCAAATCCACCAACTAAATTTCTTTACAACTTTTTCTTCCAATATTTCAAGTTCCCTTTTAAGCTAGCCTTTGATTGTATTAGAGAGTGCCTCTAGAAAAAGCTAACCTCCCCTGCATATTCTGTGGCTTCTGTCTATTGATCAATTGTGAGCTTCTGTTTACCACAGGGATAGACTCTTATACATGTAAAGTAAATTCTAAAAAACAACTAAAATCTCTTTTAAGAGGAATAAAGAATACTAAGGACAGCTCCACTCCATACTTAACCCTTTGTTGCTACCAGGCAGAAAAAGCATTATACTCCCCAAGATAAATGGTCAAAAAAGTTCAACAGTTCATTCACAAAAGAATTGAAAAGTGTAATAATATGGGCAGTACCTGTGACCTAGCGGATAGACCACTAGGAAGATTCTTCTTCCTAAGTTCAAATCCAACCTCAATACACTTATTATCTGTATGACCATGGGCAAGTCATTTAAGCCTGATTGCCTCAGTTTCCTCATATGCAAAAGTAAGCTATAGAAAGAAATGACAAACCACTCCATTATCTTTACCAACATAACCCCAAATAGGGCCATAAAGAGTTGGACTCAACTGAACAACAGTTAATTCAGGCTTAGGACTGTGGAAAGGAAAAAGCAATTTTAATGCCTTGTAGCTAGTAGAACATAAGCGAAGTAGAAATACTTTTCTTTGGACTTCAGTAAGGTTTTCTATTAATACCCAACAAAAAAGCACACATATGTGATGATTTCAATGCCATATTACCATATTATAAAACTCAGAGGTAAGTAAAAATATGTCTCTACATATGTGCTGTGATTTCTAAGCTGAAAGTCATCCATATTGAGCCTGATTTTCTCCTTCCTTCATGTAAAAGGGTAATGTTCCAGTAGACCGCCAACATGTCTATAACAGAATTTATCTTCTCCCCAACGATCTACTCTTGCTCCCATCTTCCATACTCCTGTTATAATACAGCTATTATCGAGTTCACCCAGTCTCAAAATCTCAGGGTCATCCCCACCCTAATGCGATCAATTCACCAAGTCTTACCAGTTCTACCTCTGTAAATCTCTTGCATATATCCTCTCTTTTATTGCCTTTTTTTGTTTGTTCTACTCTTTTTTAGCTAGGCAATGGGGTTAAGTGACTTGCCCAAGGTCACACAGCTAGTAAGTGCTAAGTGTCTGAGGCCACATTTGAACTCAGGTTCTCCTGATTCCAGGGCTGGTGCTCTATCCACTATGCCACCTAGCTGCCCCTGCTTCTTTTTTTAATAGATGTAATCTTGTAGCTAACATCTTAGTGCTTTTATGGTCTGCAAAGTATTTAACAAATTTTATCTCATTTTATCCTCATAATAATCTTGGGAGGTAAGTGCTATTATCAGCTATATTTTACAGTTGAGGAAACTGAGGCAAACATAGATTAAGTGACTTACCAGGGTCACATAGCTAGGAAATATATGAGGTTAGATTTGAACTCAGGTCTTTTTTTTTTTTAACCCAAGTCTACTGTTGTATCCATGGCCCCTCCTACCCTCCTCTACTTTTATCAGTACAGGTAAGGAATTTCCTGTAAAGCAGATTGTTATCTTCAGTGTAATTTATGGTATCAGAAAATTTCCTGGTTCACTAAGAGGTTAACCAAAGTAACAGAGCTGTAAGAGTCGGTCAGAACTCTGAGGTCAGCTCCACTAGTCCATGTTGCCTCTCCTTCCCTGTCCAATTCCTAGTGTCCCCACTGTAATTCAGGTCATTGTCCTTTCCCTAGACAACTGAAGTAACCTCCTAACTGGTCATCCTGCCACTAGTTTCCCTTCCTGGTCCTATCCATTTCAAACTTGGCTGCTAGATTAATCTCTACGCACAACAGCTCTCACCATGTTCCTCCCTACAAGCTCCCTATTGCCTACCAAACTCCATGTTGGCAGTCAAGGCCCTCCACAAATTGGCCCCACCCTACTTTTCCAGCATTATCTTCTGTGTACATAGTTGTTTTCGTATTATCTTCCCCCCATTAGACTATGAGCTCCTTGAGAGTAGGAACCATCCTTTGCCTTTGTTTGTATCTCAAGCACTTAGCATAGCATCTGGCAAAAAGGAGGTGCTTAATAAATGCTTTTTGAGTAATGGATTACTAACCTTCATGCAGTTCCAGAAAACCTGACCTGGGCTAATCACCATTTGTCATGCCTTTGCTCATACCATACCATCTCTGCCCTTTAAAATTCTCCCCATCTTTCAAGGCCCAGGCCTTCATCACATTTTATTTGTACTTCTTTTAAGCATTTATGACATTCTATTTTATATTATATAAATTTACATATATTATATAAATATATATTATAAATATATATATTTATATTATATTTTATATTATACTGATTTGTATACATAGCTTACCTTCTCTACTAGACTATAAATTCCTTGAGGTCAGGAGTTCCGTCTTATGTTTATGTCTCTCTTGGCATCTAGCATAGTCCTTTGTACATACTAGAAGTTTTATTAAATTAAAGTGGTTTGATATTTATACTTTTTTAATGAGGGGAGGTGGGAAGGAGGAAAAATATATTTTTTCTTCATTAAAAACTAAAATTCCATTGAGAAATAATTGAATTGCATTGATCTGCAATGCCTTCGTATATGAAACAGCATAGGGCTGGGAAGTAACATAGTTAACTTTTAGCACATAGAAAGTTCAGTACATCAAGGATTTAAGATTTCATCCACATTGATACTCATCCCACTGACACAGATTGCAACCCTCCTATTACTCAGTAGACAGTCTTCAAGAGTTATTATGCCCCAGAATGCACCCCTCACCCCCTCACCCCCTGGTCAACCTGGTGATGGACCTACCCAGACTTAGCTATGCTTGCCATGGTATGACAGACACACAGCCCAACATCACTCAGTCCACCTGAGAAAGCAAGTGAAGCATAGTGGAAAGAGCCCTAGCCTTGGACTAGCATTCAGGAAGACCCTAGTTCTAATCCTGCCTCAGACACTTACTAATTATATGGCCCTAGACAATTCCATAAACCTCTTTCAGCTGTGGCTTCCTTGTCTGTCAAATGAAGATAAAGATAAAGAGCACCTATCTCACAGGAATGTTGTGAGGATCAAATGAGATAGAATATGTAAAAATGCCTTGAAAACCTGAAAGCTGTTATTATTATCAACACGCCTATACTGAAAGCCTTTCCAATTTGGTTGAACTTGCCAAAGCTTAATGTTGTCTTCCAGGATCTTCCTTCAAACTTACAAGGAAGTCTTCATTGGAGGAAGGTGCTGAAGAACTGAGAAGAATGGGTGTGGGGGGAGGTATTACCATATTTTTTTCTCCCAAAGCATTTGTCCAATGTTATCTCTGTTGAACATCTCTGGTAAGCACGAAAGACTCCATTGAAATAACACTTTTTCCCCTTATGATAGGTATGAAGATGCCCATGTCTTGGATAAAAACTCCATTCTGCATCCTTTTGATCTTTGGAAAGACATAAGAAAATCCAGCTATAAGTAGTGCTTATGATATCATTCAATAATAAAAGAAAAAATTTAAGAACTTTACTTCAATGGGCATTCTTAAATGTTCTCAGTAGCTTATACAGCTCTAGCAAGAAAGGTGATTACTTTTTTTGTCCTTCAGCCAAATCCTTATAAGCTTTGAGGCACGGGAAGGGGGTGGGATTTGTTTTTGTTTTTGCTACTGTAAATAACTGTGATGTAAAGACAAAACATCTTTTAAAAGAAAGAGAGAAAGAAAGAGGTCAAGAGAAAGGAAGGAAGGGAGAGAGAGAGAGAGAGGGAGGGAGAAAGAGAGAGAAGAAAAATGGAAAGCCAAAAAAAAAGCCTTTTTATTTTTCCTTCTTACTTCAAACCAGCTACATGTCATGAAGGGTTGCTCTGGAGTGGAAAAGGAAGCTGGGAATTCATCCTATACCAAGAGTTCTTTACCTGGGGCCACAGACACACCCCCTCCCCCAAGCAGTCCGTGGATAGGTTTCAGGAGGTCCATGAACTAGGATATGGAAATATAACATTTTTACTGTAGTTATATTGTAAGTATTTATATGTTATATTTATAATATCAATCCGGGAGGGGAAGACCCTCAAAGTTTCTGGCCAGAATTGAAAATAATTGCTATTAGGGCATCTTCAGTCTTAATTCCTGCCTAGCCCTTAGTCATTGAAAGGGTATTAAGTCAGACAAACTGAGGCCTGGAAAAGACCTTAATTTAGAAAGGCCAAGGTCATGTACAGCATCCAGAGCCATCTACAGACTCTGGAGGAAAGAATGAGGCTAACAATTCTACCTCACTTAAATCCAATTCATTCAGAAGTCAAGACATCGTTCTTGTGACATCATTGGTCCTTGAGAAAAAAGGATGAATAACAACATTTATAACATTTATATTCGTATAATATTATTAAAATGTTTGTTCTATGTTTTATATATAAATACATAAATGTATTGTTATATTAGATTTCCATATTTATATGTAAGTATATTTGGCATATTGACATATAAATACATGAATGTTTATATAAGTATATAGATTTGCATAATATATTGATATAAATTTGTATATTATATGCTGATGTAGAATTTTATTTGTGCATGGATATTATACAAATCAATGTTTTGTATATTATATTGCATATAATATATACATTCATATTTAAATATCATGCTTATATAATGTATAAATTATTTATTTCATCATAATTAGTTTTCTTTGTAATCCTATGTATTTTATTTTATAATTTTAAAAGCATTCTTCTGGCTTTAGCACAGGGGTCCATGACACACACAAAAAAGGTTAACAGCCAACTGCTGCTCCAATAGCTACTCATCGACATTTTTGTTTTGTCTTGTTTGGGGTTTTTATTTGGGGTTGGGGTTTTATTTTGTTTTTTTGGAGAGGGGGTGGAAGGGGAGAATGTCAGTCAGGCCACATATCCCACACAACAACTCTCCTGACCACAGCCTCTCCCAGAGCCTACTCCTGCCAGGCACCTTCAGGGCACAGGCCCAGTCTTTGACTTCACTCACCAAGCAGAATGATTTCCTCTGGATATTCATTCTCTCTCACTTTTGTTACCAGAGCATCATCAATGGCTTGCTTGGAAGGTGATGGGCAGGGCTGCAGCTCGTCATCCCCAGGAGGATGATTACAACAGGAGCAGAAAGGGTTCTGATCTGATTTTGTGCTGGGACTGATCCGGAGGCAGTGAGCTCTAATGGGAAATAAACTGGAGCTAATTAATTCATTCCATACTTAAGTGCCCATCCCTATGACTGGAGTAAGGCCAAACTCTACCACTTAGTAACTCACAGTTATACAATAATAATTACTCACATTTCTATAGCACTTCAAGGTTTATAAGGTGCTTCTCTTTCCCCAACACAACAACTCTTGGGAAAGCACTTTGTAAATATAACTATATAAATGTATATAATATAATATTATTCTAATAATATAATAAATACAAATCACATATAAATTTACATGAAAGTAATAAATATACATTATATCAATTTATATAATATAATAAATATAAATACTATGCAAATTTATATAATGTAATAAATATGTCATATAAATTATATGAAATTACAATATAATGAATATAAATATTTAAATTTGTACCACATACATTATAATATAATATAAATATTATATGCTTTTATACAACAATATAAATTTACATATTACATAAACCTGTATCATTCAATCAAGTTCTGTTTGTGTATAAATGTTATATAATTAAATACAATTATGCATGAATATTATACAATTACATAATATGCAATATTGTCCAGAACCCTTGCTAGGTTATCTTTGGATCAGTTGTTTAACCTCTCTCATCTTCAGTTTCCCCAAAATGGAGTTTTTGAAAAATGCTAGCACCATCTAACTCACAGGGTCTATTCTGAGGATTACATTAGGCAATGCATACAAAATTAGCAAAATTAGCTTTTAAAAAATGGGCTATTTTCATTCATTTCATCAAGTATCTAATGAGTGTCTATATGTACTGTCAGTTATTTCAACCTTCTCTAGCCTCCTTCTCTCTCCTAGGATGCTACCACTGCCCTGGGGCAGTCTCTTATCACCTCTCACCTGGACTACTGCAATATGAGATTACTTGGTCTACCTGTCTCATCTCTCCCCACTCCAGTCCATCCTCTACTTGGTTATCAAATTGATTTTTCTCTAGAGACTCTCTCTTTCTCTGTCTCTCTGTCTGATTGTCTGTTCTGTCTCTCTCTGACTCTCTCTCTGTCTCTCTCTCTCCTCCTCCCTCCATCCTCTCTCTCTTCCTCCCTATCTGTCTCTCTCTCTGTCTCTCTCTGTTTCTCTGTCTCTCTGTCTGTCTCTCTGTCTCTCTCTATCCCCTTCCCTCCATCCTCCCTCTCTCTTCCTCCCTATCTGTCTCTGTCTCTCTCTCTCTGTCTCTGTCTCCCCCTACCTCCCTCCTCTCTTTATCTGTCTCTTTCTCTGTCTCTGTCTGCCTCTCTCTCTCTCTCTCTCCCTCTCTCTCTCTCTCTCTCTCTCTCTCTCTCTCTCTCTCTCTCTCTCTCTCTCTCTCTCTCTCTCAGTTTCCTCATGTGTGAAATGAATGTGTTGAACTAATTGATCGCTAAATGTCCTCCTACCTATAAATCCCATCATCCTTTTATTATCACAGCATGTACTTTGGCAGACAGGAAATAAGGCAGCTGAGCAGGTGTGACTAAATCCAGAACTAACACAGATTATTACACTGTTTGGCTAAAACCTTGGTCAATATTATCTTCCCATTTTAAGAAAATTAGAAGGAATGCATAAACTTCTAACTTGCCTAACTTTTAAACATCGTGATTCTTTTACCAAAGAACAAGCCTCCTTTATTCAATTCTAGCCTTTCCAAAAGAGGAGAGCCATAACTTGGGTGAGGCAGTCACGGCTGTGCCCAGGACACTAATAATAAGAATAAGAATAATAACTATGTGCTAAGAACTATGTCCAGTCCTTTATAAATACCATCTCATTTGATCCTCCCAATGACCCTGGGAGGTAGGTGCTATTATCATCTCTATTTCACAGTTGAGGAAACTAAGGCAAACAGATATTAAGTGTTAAAATTAAGCCCAGGGTCACACAGCTAATGTCTGAAGGCAGGCTTGATCTCCAGTCTTCATGACTCCAGGCCCAGTGTTCTATCTGCTTGCAACATCTAGCTGCCCAATTTAAAAAGCACAAAAATATATTATATCTAGAAGCACCATTGTAATTTCCTTTTCCCTCATCAAATGATTTTATTTGAATCACTGTTTATTGTTTTTTACATTATCAATCACAAAATTAATTTCAGGTTGGGTTTCCTATTGGCTCTCCCAAAAGAATCTCCCTATGGAAGTGTCCGTGAGTATTTCTCTAATGAAAAAGAGTACTTATTTGCAGATGTCACTATTTTAGCTATTTAACTCAGTTTCCATATGTGAGCTAGCTTGGTTTAGTAGTTAAAGACAGTTAGCTCTAACTCTTCCCCAAATAACTCTCTGGAAAGAACTTTTCAAATAAATATTTCCCTTTAATAGGAAGCACTTTATTTGGCAATATCAAAACCATCCAGGCGGAAACTGTCACAGTAACTATTGGTTTGGCTTTCTCTGATTCTTCCAGCTGGAAATGGTCTCATCTTCATCTCATTTCCTAATATTTTGCTCTCTCCTCATGAAATTATCATATTCTATGTATAATAATTATCTGTCTACATGGCTTATCATTGCCTTCCACTAGATTAAATTCTACTTAGCTTTGTGTTGTGCCTCCATCCCTACCCAATTTAGGATGCTTTAGCACAATTTAGGGAGTATTACTAACCATTAATAAAAATCTGTTGAATTAGCTAATGTTTGAATAAATGAATGTTCAAGCTAGAGGAAACCTTAGAAATCACTTGGTCCAACTGCCTCATTTTATACTTGAGAAAGATCAGTAAGATGACTTGACTTGCCCAAGGTCACATGGCCATTGGAAGAGCTAACATGTCAACTCCATTCTCTTCAATAATAATTTAATCATTTCAATTCAATTTGAATAATAATTTATTAATAAGAGCTAGCATTTATATAGCACTTTAAGGTTTGCAAAGTACTTTACTATGGTAACTGATTTGATCCTCAAAACAACCTAGCAAGGTAGGTGGGTATTATTTTATAGATGAGAAAACTGAGGTTAAATGGCTTGCCCAGGATCATACAGCCAGTAAGATTCTGCAGCAGGATGTGAACTCAGGTTTTCTTTTTTCTTTTTTTTTCTGCCAAAATAAGGTTTTATTTTGAAAAGCACTTAAAAGACACTGAGGAATGAGACATCAGGCTTCACATCAGGTTTCAAAATTCACATTCTCTCCACCCAGAGTTAGTTGCCTTTGCTAGGCTTTAGATTCAGGTTTTCTTGACTACAAGTCCAGTATTCTATCCACTGTATCACCTAGCTGACTCCACATTCAACGTGTGAGGCATTATGCTCAGCATTAGGCATCACTAAATGACAGATGATGTAGATCCCACGAGAGCTGAAAGGCAGGCAAGCTATGGGCGCACTGGAAGAGAGTTCAGGGCTGTGCTGGCATGGATGATTCTACCCTACCTCTGGACCCATCCCATCTCCACAGATATAAGATTAGCCTCAGGATGACCCCACCCCGCCCCCATCTCCATGGACATGAGTAGCATCAGGATACTTAATCTTATTGTAGTTTTTGAGAGTTAGAATGTGGGAAGATGATCTAAGCCCTGAGTATTTGTGAAGAAATTTCAAGTCCTGTAGAGTGTCCTTATGGAAGCTGGGGATTAAGAAGGGCAAAGAACACCCACCAAGTATAGACTCTTGAAGCTTTGTCCTTGTGCATGTGGCTGGCATTCTAGGATAGTGTCAGGGTCTTTCTCAAAAAGTACTAACCAATTAGTCTTGAGGCAAAGAGAGAAAGTGAGAAAGGTTAAGTTCAAAGGAGAGCATGAATTAGTGCGGAGATGGAATAGGAGAGTGAATCCCTGTTTTTCAGTACTTCAGGTTCAAATTCCTCAATGGTTCTTGGATGGTCAGAGACAGTGCTAGAGCTGGCAGAGGTCAGTATGTTCCCGTGAGCCTTCAAGACCAAAGAGAGTGACCAAAGAGAGTTTGTGCTTTGGGTCTCAGAGCCAATCCCCATGGGAGGGACCTCAGCATTTTCTTTTTTCTTTTTTTCCTTTTTTTGGCTAGGCAATGGGGTCAAGTGACTTGATCAGGGTCACACAGCTAGTTAAGTGTCAAATATCTGAGGCTGGATTTGAACTCAGGTCCTCCTGACTTCAGGGCCGGTGCTCTATCCACTGCACCACCTAGCTGCCCCAGACCTCAGCCTTGGACAGATTTGATATCTGAGAGGATGCATTCTGAGCCATGTAGTTTCCGGAGGAAACAGAATGCTCAGGGAAAACCCAGGTGATCCAGAGCTTGGGGAGTACTTGAGAGTAATGTTTGTCAGACCCCTGGCCATCAGTAATACATTCCACCTTCAGTATTCTCCAAAGCCATTATTTCCTCCCTCGTTTCACTTTCCTCCCATTCCCACATCTTGATCCTAGTCAGGGATGTGCTAGTAAACGTTTAACAACCGGCTCTCCAAAACCATACCACAACACACTGATAAAATTTATTCTGCATTATTAACAATGTCTCCATCACTGTCTTAGGTCTACCAGGGGCTGGGAACCTGTGGCCTTGAGGCCACATGTGGACTGCTAGGTCCTTGGGTGCCGCCTTTTAACTGACTCCAAGTTTTACAGAACAAATCCTTTTATTGAGGGGATTTGTTCTGAGAAGTTTAGATTCAAATTAAAAATCTCAAAGTGCTACAGAAATAGTCTAGACTCTAGACAATCAACAAAAAATCAATCAGGCATTGATTTGTAAATTTGTTAATTTCTGAGGTGTAAAATGCTCATGATGAAAATTCACCAATTGCCTCTCAGTTCACTCACCCTGCACCCAGATCACCCTTACCCTTATTACTCCACCTATTGCTACCACTCCAGCTCCACGGATAGAAGAGTAGCATCAGTAGGCATACCCCGATTCTAGCTTTTGAGAGCTGGAGTGAGTATGGAAAGTTGGTCCAACCTGTGACACTGCTCCTTCTCCTCCTACCTCTGCCTTCTTTTCTGACTCTCTTACTAGCTTCTCTTCTTCCTCTTTCCCACTAATTTTGGCTTTTCTTCAAGCTCCTTTCCTGGTCCTCTTCTCTCTATGTTCTGTCTTCTCAAGGGCTCCTCTACTCTCATGGCTTCAACTACATGTAGATAGTTTAAATATATTTGATAAATATATTAAATATTAAAATACCTTCCATTTCCTCACCTCTAAAATAGGAAACATAATGCTTATGCTAGGTTAGGCCTGCGCAACATCCAGCCTGTGGGCCACTTGCAGCCTGCCAAAGGATTTCGGGCAGGCCATGAAAAATGTAGAGGATGTAAAAGATACTAAAGCTGTAATGAGTGTTTTGCCCATGCCCCACTTAACCCACCCTCCACTAGTCACTATGGTGCCCAACATGTAACTTGGTGGGTGGGTTACCACTGCGCACCCTCTCCAGTTTGTACATGACCCATGGCAACCAATCATCATCAATCTGTCTCTAGTCTGAAAGGATCGAGAGTCATATCTTTTCGCTGTGTTTTTGGTTGTAACTGGCGTTGAACAGGAACAAAGTGAGTGCAGCAAAGTAATTTTTTTTGTAACATGATTTCATGATAAATAAAAATCTTAAATTAAAGGTGTAATTAATTGACATCAGTTGAAGTTTCCCTTTTTAAAATATGGTTTATTTGCAAAATAGTTTAATCATTAATCATACCTTTACTTAGAAAGTGAACTGCTAAAAACCTATCTGTGGCCTGAAGAAGTTTAGCCTCTTTTAATTTTGGCCCCTCCCTACTGCCAAGTTGTGCAGGTCTGTGCTAGGTGTTGCGGTGGATAGAGTGCCAGGCCTGGAGTAAAGAAGACCTGAGTTCAAATGCGGCCTCAGACACTTCCTAGCTATGTGACCCTGGGCAAGTCACTTCACCCTGTTCGCCTCAGTTTCCTCATCTGTAAAGTGAGCTGGAGAAGGAAATGGCAAATCACTCTTTGCCAAAAATAATCCCAAATGGGGTCACACAGAGTCAGACATGACTAAAACAACTGAACAACAACAATGCTTATGCTACCTAGCTCACAGGGATGTGAGCTCTGTAAAGGTGCTCTGTAAATCTCAAAGTGCTATAGAAACAGGTTATGACTATGTAAAGGTAGGGGTGTGCTGCAGCCAATTTCAGCTGAACCAACTGTAATTTTCAGTGTGAGGATTTATATCACAGAAATTGGCAAACACTGCAAATCAAGGTTTGATTTTTTTGTTGTCATTGATTGTCTTAAGAAAGTGATGGGGAAAATGTTAATAATGCATATTAAACTGAAAAGTGTGTAGCGGATACATTTTTTCCCAAGAGCTAGTTGTTAAACATTTACCAGCCCACCCATGTATAAATATGAGCTGTTAAAGCTATTAGGTCTATCAGGTTAAAATGGTTAATAAATCTTTATCAGACTTAAGAAAACAAAGGGGAAATGTTAATAATGCATATTAAACTTAAAAGTGTGTAGTGGGTACATTTTTTTCCAAGAGCCAGTTGTTAAACATTTACCAGCCTACCCTTGTATAAATATGAGCTGTTTAAGCTATTAGCTCTGTTAGGTTAAAATGGTTACTAGATCTTTATTAGACTCAAAAAAGCCTTGGGGAAAATGTTAATAATGCACATTAAACTTAAAAGTATGCAATAGTACATTTCCCCCCCCAAGAGCCAGTTGTTAAACATTTACCAGCTCACCCATGTATGAATATGAGTTGTGTAGGCTATTCACTCTATTAAGCTAAAATGGGTTATAGATCTTTATCAGACTTAAGAAAGTGATGGGAGAAATGTTAATAATCATATTAAACTTAAAAGTGTGTAGTGGGTTCATTTTATTTTCTAAGAGCTGGTTGTTAAACATTTACCAGCCCACCCTTGTATGAATATGAGTTGGTAGGCTATTCGCTCTATTAGGCTTAACTGGTTCATAGATCTCTATCAGACTCTTACCCAGTAGAAGCATCTCTTTTGAGGTGATACTGAAGACAGTGGGCACAAGCATCACATTCAGCAGCAGACAAAGGAAGAGGAAGTGGATTGACATCTATTGCACTAGGGCCATGTTCCTCAGGCCCCGGACTGCCATCGCTGTTAGCACCTGCCACAACATAGTTCTAATCCTTTAATTACATTTTCAAAAATAGCATTCTGTTTGGTATTTGAAGCTCGACTAACATGTGAAGGGCCAAGATCTAATTACAAAATCTATCTTGCCTTTTCTTTTTTTTTCTTTTCATTGAACCACTTCTCAAAAGAGCAGCCTTCACCACCTCTGGATAGCATGATAGATGGAGTGCTGAGATTTCAGAGTCGGGAAGACCTGAGTTCAAATCCTGACTTAGTAGGTATGTGACTTTGAGCAAGTCACTTAGCATCTGTCTCAGCTTCCTCATCCATAAGATGGGGATAATGATAGCACTGACCTCATAAAATAGTTGCAAGATTCAAATATATACATATATACATATGTATATATATGTTTATGTATATACACATTTATTGTTGTTCAGTTGTTTCAATCATGTTTCACTCTCTGTGACTCCCATTTGGGGTTTTCTTGACAAAGATTAACTAGAGTATTTTGCCATTTCCTTCTCCAACTCATTTTATAGAGGAGGAAACTGAGGCAAGCAGAGTGAAGTGATTTGCCCAGAGTCACACAGCCAGTAAGTGTCTGAAGTTGGATTTGAACTCAGGTCTTCCTGACTCCAGGCCAGCTGCTTTATCCACTGCACCACCTACCTGCCCATGCATACATTTGCTTATTTATTTTTATATATATTTTATCTTCGTATATTATACATCATACCAATATATTAAAAATCATTATATATCTATATGACTCAGCAAACCTTAGAGCACTATATAAATGTTAGCTATTGTTACTATTATCACCACAGTCCTCACTTCTATTTCTTCATGACTCTTCCATTCCTCACCCCCCACCCCACCCATATCTATACTGAAGAGGCTCCCTCCAAGATTATAGACTTCCTCATGGGCAAATCCAAAGGCCTTTTCTCAGTCTTGAACCCTCCACTTTGATACTTATCTGTCTTCTTTTAAATTTTCTCCTTGACTTTTTCTTTCTTAAAAAAAAAAGTGTGCTTCTATCCTTTCCCCTCCCCCCCATAGAGCTCTCTCTTGTAACAAATACTTTCTTAACTTCTGTGACACTGCTCCTTCTCCTATCTCTCTGCCTTCTTTTCTGACTCTTTTACTAGCTTCTCTTCTTCCTCTTACCCACTAACTTTGATCTTTCTTTAGGCTCCTTCCAGGTCCTCTTCTGTCTATGTTCTGTCCTCTAGTGGGCTCATCCATTCTCGTGGTTCCTACTCTATAGAGATGGTTTAAATGTATGTAAGAAAAGGCTGTTCATGAGAGGCAGCATTGTGTACTGAGAATCAAAAAGTCCCCTTCCTCTGACACAGCTGTGTCAGAACAACTCACTTCACCTCTCAGTGCCCTGAGCAACTCTCTAAGGCTGTAAATTGTAGACACGGCACCATATACATCCACAGATGGAGTTTCCTTACTGGGTACCCCATATACCAATGAAATCACAGTTCTAGACCCCCCAAAAATGTTTCTAGTGGCTATGTAGTAGAAAGATGACTTTGAATCAGGTCCTTACTACTTGCTACCCATGTGAAGTCACATAGCATCTCTATGCCTCAGTTTCTTCCTCTGTCAAAATTTGACTTCCACTGTCTTTTCAGTTCTAAGTGACTACTACTCTATACCAACTCTAGACCTCTCTCCCAAACTTCAATACTAAATCCAAGATTCACATGGTAGCCTTTGTAAAATGGACTGATGGTGGGGAGGAAAGATGGAAGGGCTGAAAGCTGGTAGATCAGTTAGAAAGCTTCTGCAGTAGTACAATTGACAGGCAATGGGGTCTTCTTAGAATAATGACAATGGGCATGGAAATGAAAGAATAGAATCAAGATCGCAGAATTTAAAAATGAAAGGAACCATCAAGTCCACCCCATTTATTTGACAGATAAGGAAAATGAGACACAGACTAAGTGAATTGTCAAGGGTCACATAGCTATTTTCTGAGGCAGAAACTCAAGTCCAGTGCCCTATCCACTATGCTGTAATGCCTCCGAAGAGATGCTAGAAAAGATGAAACCTTGGAAGTGACGGGGCTGGGGGAGAGGTGAGAAAAATAAGGAATCAAGAATAATTCAAGGTTTTAATACTTAGAGACTTAGAAATGGATGCTATCATTGAAAGAATTAGGAAAGTCAAGAGTGGCAATTAATTGGGGAGGAGCAGAATGTGTGAAGAAAATAGCAAACTGCTCCAGTATCTTTGTCAAGAAAACCCCACAGACAGTGCAGTCCATCGGTCTTGAAGAGTTGGAAAGGAGTGAACAACAATAACAGGGGTGTGTAAGCAGGGAGCTTGGTTTTAGAGAGAATGCAGTTTAGTCAAAAGATGGAGAGGTGCAGGATGTAGCTGGAGATGTAAACAAGAAACAGATCAGGACGTGACATATAGATTTGGGATTCACTCCCCTCCACATAAAGAGGTTAAGCTATGACAGTAAATATAATTTCTGAGGGCTTGAGCAAAAAGAAAGAAGGCTGAAGCCTGAGCCTTGGCTATAGACATATTTAGGTATCCAATTCAACTTTTTCTTTTTGGAGACTAGGTCTTCCTATCTCACCCATGCTAGAAGTGCATCCCCCACTGTTATCATGGGCTTACGGGCCTGATCCTCTTGGGGGATTACCATACTGGTGCCAAACTTAGCAAGGTACTTAAATGTCTTAGCCTTGCTGCAACTCAGAATTCTTGAGCTCGAGAGATCCACCAGCTTCAGCCTTCCCCAAGTGGAAAGGATCATGCATATTCACCATCACATTTAGTTCAATTTCTTTTTAAAAAATTATTTTTAAATTATTTTAAAATTTTTTTAAAAAATTATTAAGCACTTTCTGGGTACAGAGAATGTACCAAAGATAACATATAGCTCTGTTCTCAAGGAACTTAACATCTAATGTGCAGAAGGACTATTGATGCTCTTGCTTCAATTTTCCCAACTAAGAAGAATGACATATCATACCTACCTCCTCCCCATCTCTCTTGGGCTGCTGCCAGAATGAATAAAGATACACCAAAGTGACTAGATCCTAACCTTTTCGCCCTAGATCTTGCAGAGCTGAGGCCAATAACTCAATTTTCCCTTTCCATTAATCAATAATAGAACATAAATGCTACCCTGGGGAGATTCACATCGATCAACTAATCAACTAGCATTTATTAAGTACCTACTAAATGTCAGTCACTGTTCTTCTAAGAATACCGACATTCCAGAAGTGAGTCTGTGTCCTCATTCCATTCCACCTTGCATTCCATTCCATTGATAAATGTTCACAGATAAATCAATACAAGGTAAGTAAATACACAGTGATGAAGGCAGATGGAAACACTGGAGGAAACAGGAAAGGCCTCCTGAAGAAGGAAGTCTTTGAGCTGAGCCTTAAATGGAGCTGGTGGTTTCCCAAGCAGAAGGTGACAACGGAGAGCATTACAGGAATGGGGAAGAGCCTAGGCAAAGACAGGAAGGAAAGAGATAGAATGTGAGCTACTGAGAATCGCAAATAGCACAGTTTTTCTGGATCAGAGTATAAGAGGGAGTGTAATGTGCAATCATCCTGGAAAGAAAGGCTACCTGCAGATTGTGAAGGATTTTAATGTCAAACAAAGGAGTTTTTGTTTTATGCCAGAGGTAGTATGGAGCCACCAAAGCTTCTTGAGCAGGAAAGTGACATGATTATGTGGTTGTTCAGTCATATCTGACTCTTCATGACCAGGTGTCATTCGCCAGTCCTATCCATGGGGATTTCTTAAGCAAAAGATATTGGAGTGGTTTGCCATTTCCTTATCCAGTGGGTTAAGGTAAATAGAGGGTAAGTGATTTGCCCAGGGTTACACAGCTAGTAAGTGTCTGAGGCTGGATTTGAATTCAGGTCTTCCTGACTGTAGGCCCAGCACTCTAACCACTAAGCCACCTACCTGCCTCCAAGGTCACACAACTAGTTAGTGTTTGAAGCTGGATTTGAACCCAGGACTTTTTGACTCCAGGCCCAGCGTTCTAGCTGCCCCAGGGATATGATTAGGCCTGCAGCCAAATATCCATTTGGCAGCCCTGTCAAGAATGGATTAGCAAGGAGAGAAGTCTCTCCATTGGAGCCCATTCCCCACCTGCTTAGGTCAGAGTTCCATCTGATAGGAGTACTAGGAGAGGTATAGCTGTCCTTATGCCTTCCTTCTCAAGAGGTTAGAGATGCACCCCCATACATTCCTTATTTCCCTTAATAAGCAGTTGTGGATCTACCATCAATGACCGAATCAATCAATAAATATTTATTAAGCGCCTACTAGGTTCCAGGCAATGTACCAAGTGCTGGAGTCCACATTTACCTATTGCTGACCTCTTCCCTAACACCCCTCATCCCCAACCAAGACCCCCCACATTCCCCTTCATAGTTTTCCTACCATTCTCCTTCGCCCCCTCCACAATGACTGACCCATTGGGCTCCATCACTTCATGGGGTCCGTGGAATCAAGGGACTTGGAGCCGCAGCTGGTAAAATATTCAGCCAGCCCAGTTTGAGGTTTGGAGTAAGGTGAAGACCCTGGGAAAGCAAGAGACTTCCACGTTTCCCCTCCTTCACGGAGCGAGGCAGCATTCTCTGGTCTCTAGGTTACGGGAAGTACTAACTGCATTGTCAATATTGAGGGGTGAGCGTGGAGCTTGGCAAGGAGACCAGGCTCCTTCCCAAAGTATTTTCTCCTTTCCACTTGTAGTAGAAGCTCCCTTTGTCCGAGTTGGAATTGACCCTTTTGTTTGTTTTTTTCCCCAGCCTTCCTCCGAATGTCCCCTTCACATTCTTCCAGATTTCTGTTCCCACTAGAGTGTGATACAGTTTGAGGACGCCGCTTAAGAGAAAGAGAAAGAAAAAGAAGAAGAAAAAAAAGTTTGTAGTCTGGGGCGATAGGATCTACTCAGAAAGAATTGGATTTTTCATCCGCAAAATAAGAATGAGAAAACTATTTGTACTACGGCCTGATTCACACTATCTGTCGGTCATTGCGAGGACAGCCGGCACTTTGTAACCCTAACGCTCTACTGGAGATTTTTTTCCCCATAATGTTACCATTTATTATTGCTCAATTAAATTCAGCAAACATTTAATGAGCACCTACTGTGTACAGAGTACTATGAGCTACATGCTGGGGATGCACAGACAAAAATGAAGCAGTCCCTGTTTATTCTGCAGCATCAAGTCAATTTTTAAAAGAAATCTATTAAGCACTTATTGTATGCCAGATACCATTAGGCACCTGGGGTACACACACACACACACACACACACACACACACACACACACACACACACACACAGTCTCTGCCCTCAAAGAGCTTACTACATTCTCCTGAGTGAATACATAGGGACTATAAAGTACCTGAGTATTATTAATAATAAAGGACAATAGAACTTCCAGGCTCTCCTCGTTGCTCTGAAGTGCCCATAAAGTACAAGTTGGCTATTAAGCCAGCTTAGAAATGACTCCCCCTGCCCACAGCAGTCCATGATAGTGATCCCACTATGACTTCACAGAGGCCTACTAGGCAGCCCTCCATTAGAGAGCTCCAGGGTCAGCTTCACTCTACTATGAGTCATTGGAAGAAATGGAGTGAGGAAAAGCACCTCGATATGGAACTCCATCTACACAAATGGTTATCCAGGCTCTGCTTGAAGACTTCCACTGATGGGGAGCTCGCTATCTTTAGAGGCAGCATGTTTCAGTAGAAAGGCCACTGGATTGTAGTCAGTAAGGCCTCATTTCACTATGTTACCTGTGTGTGAACAAGTATTTCACTGCCCTCAGGCCTCAGTTTCCTCATCTATGAAATGAGCAGTTGGATTCAATGGCCTCTAAGCTTCCTTCCTGCTCCAAATCTATGATCTGCTTTTTTTTTGGGGGGGGGAAGTGAGGCAGTCAGGGTTAAGTGACTTGCCCAGGGTCACACAGCTCGTAAGTGTCAAGTGTCTGAGGTCCTCCTGACTCCAAATCCAGAGCTCTATCCACTGCACCACCTAGCTGCTCCCATGATCCACTTTTGAATAGTCCCATTTGTAAGGACACTTCCTCTCCCATCAAGCCAAAATCTGCCTCTTTATAACTTTGTTGAGATCAGACTAAAAGCATAGAATCAATTTCAGAGTTGGAAGGGACCTCAGAATTATATCCATACCCTTCCACGAGAACTTAGACTTAAAGACCTCCAGTTACTTGAGGATCACTTTTGGGCAACTCTGATTATTGTTGTTCAGTCATGTCTGACTTTTCATGGTCCCATTTGGACTTTTCTTGGCAAAGATACTGGAGTGGTTTGCCATTTCCTTCTTCACTCATTTTACAAATGAGGAAACCAAGGCAAACAGGGTGAAGTGACTTGCCCAGGGTCACACAGCTAGGAAGTGTCTGAGGTCAGATTTGAACTCAGTTTTTCCTGACTCCAGGCCCAGCAATCTATCTCCTGTGCCACCTAGACGCCCATTTACCTTAATTTTACAGAATGCTTCCCATGTATCACCATGGTGAAGATGGTACTCCAATTATTATTCCCACTTTACAGACATGGACCCTTCTAGATCTAATAGTTCATGACTCTGTTAGGCCTCTGTTAATACTTTGGACTTGTGGATTATTTTGCAATATACAAAGCATTTGCATACTTACATCAAAGTATCAATTGTTGTTGTTCAGTAGTTTCAGTTGTGTCTGATTCTTTGTGACCCCAATTTGGGGTTTTCTTGGTAAAGATGCTAAAGTGGTTTGCCATTTCCTTCTCCAGCTCATTTTACAGATGAGGAAACTGAGGCAAACAGGGTGAAGTGACTTGCCCAGGATCACACAGCTAGTAAGTGTCTCAGGCTAGATTTGAACTCAGGAAGATGAGTCTTCCTGACTCCAGGCCCAGCACTCTATCCACTGTGCCACCTAGCTACCCCTTTTGATTATTAGGGGAAGGGAATAAGCATTTACATAGCACCTGCTATGTAGCCGGCACTGTGCTAAGTGTTTTACAAATATTAACTCATTTAATCCTCATAACAACCCTGGGAGATAGGTACTGTTATTATCCATGCTTTACAGTTAAGGAAACTGAGGCAGACTGAAGTTAAATGACTTGTCCAGGGTCATACAGCTAGTACATGTCAGAGCTGGATTTGAACTCAGATCTTCCTGATTCTAGGCCCAGTGCTCTATCTATTCACTGAGCCACCTAGCTACTACTACTATTATTAATTTTTTTCCTTGTATGCCATAGAAATCTGCCTTTCTGAGGACACCCAAGTTTCTCTACTCAGACTCTCAATAGAAAGTCTTAGTTTAAAACAAAACAAAACAAAACAAAAAAAGGAATCACACCAACAGATTAAAGCACTTAATTATACACACGGAAAACACTCAGAGTAAGGACTGGAGCTGAATGTAGATATAAGAAAGTAGGAAGAGATGAAGTTGAATAGACATGGTGGGATCAAGTGAAAAACACCATGAATTCCAAGCTAGAGGAATTCAGATCCTTGGAATAGAGGAGATGAGGGAACAAGCATGTATTAAACACCTACTATATGCCAGGTGCCTGGGTAAGTGCTTTACAAATATTATTTCATTTCATCCTCAAAACAACTCTGGAAGAGCCTCCTCGCTAGTTTCCTTGTCTCCAGTATCTACATTCTACAAGCCATCCTGCATGCCATTGACATAGTCATCCTTCTGACGTCTGACCTTTCCAAAATAATTGTCATCATAAATTTAATAGCCATCTCAACAAATGCAAATTAGCAAAACAAGTACTAAGATCCTAAAATCAACTATTTACATTATTTTTTAAAGTATAAAGATAATAGTGGGGCAGCTAGGTGGCACAGTGGATAGAGCACCAGCCCTGAAGTCAGGAGGACCTGAGTTCAAATCCAGCCTCAGACCAAACACTTCACACTTACTAGCTGTGTGACCCTGGGCAAGTCACTTAACCCCAATTGCCTAAAATTAAAAAAAACCAAAGATAATAGTAACTGCGTGTTCTATCCTTTTCCCCTTCATTCAGTTTTGTTCCTCTTGTTTTTAATTTGTTCCTAATTAGTACAGATAAGGGGCTGGGAACCTGTGGCCCTTTGACTGAATCCAAATTTCACAGAACAAAACCCTTTAATAAAAGGATTTGTCCTGTAAAACTTGGACTCAGTCAAAACGCCAAACCCGAGGATCTAGAAGGCCATGGGTTCCCCACCCCTGATACAGATGCTGCTCTTCTGAATTCTGTAGCTTTCTTCACTTTTTCCTTGCTTTAAGTCTTTCCTTTTTCTCTCTCATCATTTTTATGGTGCAATCATACTCCATTACATTGATATTCTCAGATACTCAGATGGAGCCATGATTTCCCTAATGGGGATCTTCCTTCTAAGGATGCAAATCTCATCACATCCATGATTGTCTGTTCTGTGTGACTCCTCTCTAGATCCTCCCATAAGTTTGTCCAACGATCTACAAAGTGGGGAGATCCATTTTGTGTATGGGAGACCTTCTTTGATTTTCCCCAACATGGAGATGATGCAATGGAGAACACCATTGTCTACCAGTTTTCCCCATGGTCTTGTCTCATCACTAGTCCTTTTTTGTTCATAAGACCCTGATATACTTTATTCAATTCTACTTAGCAATCCTGTATTCACTGATAAACCACAGTTTATTCAACCATTCCCTAATCTCTAGGTTGTCTCCATTTTTACTATTACAAATAGTTTAAAATTTTTTTTATCACATAGATCTACTTTTCTTTTTAATAAAACATCTGATCTATAGAACAGTGTTCTAAAAACCTTTTTGATCATGCATCCTGTTCTGTGATGGACCCAACTCAAGCCATCCTGAGATAGTCAATAATAATCACCATCATTATTTATTATTATTATTATTACCATCATCTAGTACTTTAAGTTTTACAAAGTGATTTACATGTGTTGTTTCATTTGATCCTTACAACAACCCTGTGAGGTAAGTACTATTATTATCCCTATACTGAGAGAGGTTAAGTGACTTGCCCAGAGTCACACAGATATTAAGTGTCTAGGCAGGATTTGAACTCAAGCCTTTCAGACTCCAAGTCCAGGACTCTCTAGCCCTTGTATCCCCTAGCTACCCCTAGGCAGCTCAATTCTGAAACAAAATGAGACACTCATTGGTCACTTAACAGTTAATAAAAGGAGATTCACTTAGCCACATCAAGAGTAGGCTATTCAACAAAGATGTACATTGAGAACACCCCTGGCTGATCCAGCTGAGCAAACTTCCCTCGCCAGAGCTGCCCATCACTGCTTGCCAAACATCACTGCTGGAACTCCTTGTGACTATTTTTCACTTAGTCATCAAGGAAATGATGTCCACAACCTGGGCCATTAGTCTCCTGAACCAATCAAGTCTAAAGGACGGTTTCAATTCCTTTTGAGGAAAAACCAGAATGCAGGAGATGGGGTACAGAAATCTATTCTGCCCTACAGGAAAATAGAAGGGGAAGGGAATAAGAGAAAGGGGGAAAAGATAGAAGAGAGGGCAGACTAGGGGAATTCAGGGATAGGGATATTCAGAATGCATGCCATCTTGGGGTGGGGGGAAAGGTGAGATGGGGTGAAAATATGGAACTCAAAATCTTGTGGAATCTTGTGAAAACTAAAAATAAATAATTTTTTTTTAAAAAAAGGAAAAACCATCTTAACTTGCATGGAGGCAGGGTTAGGTTACTGCTCCTATTACACATCTCTATCAAACAAAAAAAATGAGCACATATCCCAATGTTTAGGTTTACTTTTTTTTATAAAATATGTACAAATGCTGATAATTATGGATATTACAAAACTTATGCAAAAAACCAGAAATTAAATAGGATTAGATAAAAATTAAATAATATCATAAGGTAAACTCAATAAAGGAGTTTATTGAGTAAGAGAGTGACATGGTCAGACCTGAATCACTTTGGTAGCTTTGTGGAAGACGGCTTGAAAAGAGGAGAAACTTTGAGGCAGGGAAACCAATTAGGAAGTCATCGTAATAGTTCAGGAGAGGTGATGAGGCCTGAACTGAGGTGGTGGTCATGAGAGTAAAAAGGAGGAGATATTTGCAAGAGGCAGAAACAAGTTTTGGTGACCAACTAGATAGATATATGGGATGAGACAAAGATAATACCAAGGTTGTAAACCTGTGAGACTAGAGGAAAAATGATACCCAAAACTGAAATAGGGAAGTTCAGAAAAGGGATGAGTTTGAGAGTGAAAGATAAAGTTATCACAGACCATCCATGCTGGTCATCCTGTGCCATTCACTCATTCCCAAGGTGGGGGGAGGGCATGCAGGGGAAGCTCTCTCACTAGCCACTGCCCCAAAGTACCCTTTCCCCCTTAAGGATGGCACCTCAAAATTGTTTTAAATTTATTTCTCTAATTACTAGAAAGTTAGGGCAATTTCTCAAGTGATTAGTAACAATTGCCTTCAGCAATTGTTTGTTCATATCCTTTAATCACTGGAGAATTAATATTTAAGTTTGCATAATAACTCCTCTCAGCTCACACAAGCAGGGAGGTCCCAAAGGGCAGCTGACTACTTTTCCCTTCAGGAGTCACTCAGGAGCCACTATCTGATGTGCTCCCTTATCAACCAACCTGTTGACATCAATTTGCTTTTACAGGAGGTATTTACTGAGACAGTATAGTTACATTAGTTGTTACAAAACAAACCTCCCCAAAGGGGAGTTCTTTGGGGGGAGAGGTAGATACTCTCTCCTCTTACACACACACACACACACACACACACACAGAGTCCCTGGGAAGAATGGTCTCAAACTTAAAACATAATAGTAGTTAGTTATACATGGGTCCTATGGGTACATATGGGACCAAAAAGTACCTTGTGACTCCCAACCTGGAGAATCCTTTTCTCCCTTTGAGGACTGCCTACCAAGTTAGCTTCAGGGTGTGATGGCAGGGATGAGTGAGTGGCTCCTTTGCTCAGCTGGACTGGCTTCTTCCAGGGCATGTGAATCAATCCACTCCTGGGCCTTCACTGTACTTGGCTGATGCTGCTACCAGCTCCAGGGTCCCATTTGTCTGTGGGACCCAGGCTGGCTTTAAGGGATTTTCTAGGCTCACTAAGTGATCACCTTGGCTCTCTTTTCTCAGAATGTACATTTACCTAAGGTAAGGAAAGAAGAAACAGCAGAAAGAGATGGCCTGTGCTCAAGGGAAGCCTGCCTCTCCCCTCCACCCCCAGCATCTCCGCAACAATCTTTCTCTCTTGAAACCACAGGCACACTCAGTTTCAGGTCAATTTCCCCTATGCTATTAGTTCTTCCAGATTCTCAGCCAACAAGAAGACTCTTCATCACTGCATAGCACTAGCCTCTCCATCACTCCACATGTACTGAAATCAGGTGGGGAATATTATGCAAACTCTGAAGTAGGGAGAAGGGCCCCCATCATGCATTCCCAGAGGCAAGCCCAATTCAATCTTCCCTGCACTTACCTGGAATGCCCAGAATGAGAGGAGAAGGGGACTGAGGAGTCGCCACATTTGAAAATTTACATCAATCCTTTGTATATTATAGATGCTGCATTGTTGATTTTTCTTCAGATACATTTACCTCAGATATTTTTTCCCAAGATGATTTTTTTTCCTTTTTATGTTGGATACATTGAAGCAGTTCATAGATCTAGAATTAGAAAGAATCTCAGAGGCCATCTAACCCAACTCCTCATTTTTTACAGATGAGGAAACAGGTCTAAGGTGGTGAAGTGACTTGCTTAAAGTCACATAGATAAATCACCAGAAGCAGGATTTGAACCTATGTCCTGGGACTCCAGAGGCCATACTTTTTTCCCCTTCTCTACCCTTTACTTTTGTTACAGAAAATGTAATTTTCATATGATCAAATCCATCTATTTTTATCTCCACTTTTAACTTCTTCCACTTCTTAGATAGACATAAAATGTTTCTATCTCTACAACTGAGATGAACATATAAATAAATGAGGTGAAGTAATTCTCTCTACAGAAGGACTTGCCTTATTTGTTGTTGTTATTGTTTGTCCTTCACTCTGTGACATCAGGGAGGTGATGCCATAACATGCAAGTGAATTAGATTTTAGTGAGGAAGGGCTGTGCAAGGTCACCAACTTCACTTTCTTCTCTGGAGCCATCTGGGTCCAGGGGCCAGATACACATCAGCATGACTGGAGATGGCCCTAGATGCAGTGGGAGACCTTGGCCTTTTAAAGCTAAGGCTTTTAGAGGTCTCAGTATGAATGACTGAGGTAATGCCTATTCAGTGATTAAGGCTAGGTAAAAAATGAGGCAAAGAATGGCCTCTTTAACCTAGTCCAGAAAAAAGACATAAAAGAAGGAAGGAAGGAAGGAAGGAAGGAAGGAAGGAAGGAAGGAAGGAAGGAAGGAAGGAAGGAAGGAAGGAAGGAAGGAAGGAAGGAAGAAAAGGAAGGAAGGAAGATAAGGAAGGAGGAAAGGAAGGAAGGAAGAAAAGGAAGGAGAAAAGAAAAGAAAAGAAAAGAAAAGAAAAGAAAAGAAAAGAAAAGAAAAGAAAAGAAAAGAAAAGAAAAGAAAAGAAAAGAAAAGAAAAAGAAAAGAGCTGTATTGCCCAACAGTTCGTTCCAGTTGGATCCCCAGTGGGGCAGCTCCTGCTATTCACAGGGCTGTTATTTGTCCTTTGTTCTCAAAGAGAACCATGACATCAGGGAGGTGATGTCATGACTTCCAAATGAATTGGATTTGAGTGAGAGAGGGCTGTGCAAAATCACCAACCTCACTGTCTCCTCTGGAGCCGTCTGGGTCCATTGGCAAGATATAGATCAGGATGACTGGAGATGGCCCTCCCTTACCTGTAGGATGCAAGTAGAAAGGTAAAGACTATTTACTCAGAGTGCAGTCTCTAGGTAAGCCACTAGGTGGTGCTCCTTGCTCAAGCTGCTTTAGTTACTAGGTAGACACATTTCCCCACCCCACCTCCACTTTAGTGATTTTCACACAGGTGCAGCAGGACCTCCCTGCTCCTCCCCCATCTGTGATTTCCAGCCCATGCACCTTAAACTCTCTATCTATGCAGGCAGAAACTGACCTCAGTTCTCCATAGTTCCTAGCCTCCTTGAAGTGATTTAAAAATCAATTCATCTCCTTTAATTTAAAATGTAAAAATTATAATAATTTCTTTTATAACCTAATCAAAATGGTACAGCCCCAATGCCATTAAGATTCTTGTCTCCTTCCCAACTTCACTTGATCCAAAGGGTTTGTGATTTTGGGGTTGAAATTTTGTGTGATGGCGTCTTTTTCTCCACAACAATCATATGTTGTTCCACACCTATGGAAATACAAATGGTAGTGGAGGCTCTATGGTGAATGATCTCATGAAAGTAGTCCAATAAAATAAAACCTTCCTTTCTAAATGATTAGATATTTTTGTTATTAATAGGGTAAGGTGCATATGGATGAAAATAATAAATAGTTCTCCATGCCCTGCGCACTGAAATAACAGAGGAATCTATTTAAGAAGTCTTTCTCAGTTCGCCTTAATGCTAGTACCTTCCCTCTCTGATTATCTCTAGTTTATCATGTATATATCTTCTTTGTACATATTTGGTAACATGCTGTCTCTCTCATTACACTGTGAGCTCCTTGGTTTTGGTTTTGTGTGTGTGTGTGTGTGTGTGTGTGTGTTTCTTTTAACCTTTCTTTGTATCCTCGGTGCTTAGCACAGTGCCTGGCACATAGCAAGCATTTAATAAATGCCTGTTGACTTGGTCTCTTCTTCTTTCAGCCCTTTGGTGGCACAACTGAGCCTCAAATGATTCGTCTAACTTTCCACTCTTCAGACAAGGATTTACTGATGGGAAGAGCCGAGCCCAGCACTCCCTAGAGTCCAGAGCCTAGAAAGAGGATGCAAAGAGAGCAGGGAGAGGAAGCAAAGATCAAGGAGAGGTTTATAATGGATCCGGACTAAAACAAAAACCATTTCCAACCACCCTGGGCCCTAGAGACTGGGAAGAGAGGGAGAAGAAGGAAATAAAAATGTGAGTTTTTATTGAGTAGAAACTTGAATCTGGGTATGAGTTTCCTCACCTATTAAGGTTGGCAGTCCTGGTGCAGTGGGAAAAAAGAACAACAAAAACAAACAAAAAAAAACCAAACAGTAGAGGACCTGGATTTGAATCCTGGTTCTAGAGTTTACTAGTACAGTATATGATGTTGGATGGGTCACTTCTCCTCAGAACCTCAATTTCCTGATCTGTATTGTAATCTGATTGGACTAGATGGTATTAAAGGTCTCATCCTACGATCTTATGAATAGATGATTTTAAGGTTCCTTCCAACTCTAAATTCTATGATCCTATGATTTCTGAGGGGGCTCCTTAAAGAGACTTCCCAGCTTCACTCATCTACGACCTCAAACACTTTTAATAGCTCCCTATTGCTTACAGAATAGTTCAAGCTCCTCAGCTCGGCATTCAAGGCCCTCGATAATCTCATGCCACTCTGCCTTTCTAGATTTACATCATACTACCTTTGTGACCTTGGGTAAGTCACTTAAACTCTCTAGGCCTTAGTTTCCCCATCTGTAAAATGAAGTTTCACCAGATGATGTCTGAGGGCCCCTCCAACTCTTGAGGTACACTCCTATGTTCCTGTGAACTCTACATCTCATCAGTGGTCCATATCTCCCCTTCAGATCAGAAATTCCACAGGGGGAGGAATTATAGCTATCCTTCATGCTTGGATTTCTCAATAGTCCCATGAACCAAGCAACATTCAAAATATTTTTTAAAATATTTTTAACATTTTAAATTTTAATTTTAAAATTTTTTGACAGGCAAATTTAGTCATGCTGTAAAGGAAAACCTCCCAATAATTAGAGCTATGCCAAGGTGGAATGGGCTTTCTTAGGGAATGGTAGATTTCCTCCAGGGATATGCCAGAGCCAGCTCAAATCAGCTCCAGAGAGTAGATTGTCAAATTTTCAATGTGACCATTTACACCTCAGAAATTGGCAACCGCCGCAAATTAGGGCTTGATTTACTGTTTTGTTGGTTGTCTCTAGGCTCAAGAAAGTGATGGGGAGAAATGTTAATTCAGTGTGTTCAGTCCTTTTTTTCAGTCATGTCCGACTCTTCGTGACCCCATTTGGGGTTTTCTTGGCAAAGACACTGGAGTCGCTTGCCATTTCCTTCTCTAGCTCATTTTACAGATGAGGAAACTGAGGCAAACAGGGTGAAGTGTCTTGCCCAGGGTCACACAGCTATTAAGTGTCTGAGGCCCAATCTGAACTCAGGAAGATGAGTCTTCTGACTCCAGGAACTTTACTCACTTCACCACTCAGCTACCCAAAATGTTAATAATGCAGATTAAATTTAAAGGGGTGCCCTGCATTTTTTTTTGTTTTTTTGTTTTTCAGAAAGTTAAACACTTAACATCATACCCGTCACCCTCCTAGTAGAGGCTTTCAAGCAGAGGCTGAATGACCCTTGAAGGGCATAATATAGAGCAGATTCTTGTTCAATTATGGGTTGGGCTAGCTGGCCTCTGGGGTGCCTGCCAGTTCCAAGCCTGTGATTCTGTGATTACACTCACATGTTACATTAGAGTACATTTACTGAATGGAATTGGAAATAAAAGATACAACATTAAAATTCCCAAGGGACTGAGCCTAGCCATGCTGGCTGTTAGAGGCCTGAAAGCTATGCTTCTCCGCATTGGCAAACGCTCCTAAGAAAGTCCCTATCCTCAACCTGATTTTGGCCAAGGGAACAGCATTGGCCCCAAAGACTGTTTGTGGAGGAGGGCTGTTGTTTAGTTGTTTGAGTCATGTCTGACTGTTCATAAAGCCATTTAGGCAAAAATACTGGAGTGATTTGCCATTTTCTTCTCCAGCTCATTTTACAGGTGAGGAAACCAAGGCAATCAGAGGTTAAGTGACTTGCCCAGGTTCACACAGCTAGGAAATGTTTAAGGGCAGATTTGAACTCAAATCTTCCTAACTCCAGGCCCACTGCTCTATCCGCTGAGACACCTAGCTCCTCCCAATATCAAGGGCCTAAAAATAAATTCAGCATGAGAGAAGGGACTCACTATTCTAACCCCTGTAGAACTAGCTTTCACTTCCTGACAGATTACCAGGT